GAGCCCGATGCGGGACTCGATCCCGGGACTCCAGGATCATGACCTGAGCCGAAGGCAGTCGCCCAACCAACTGAGCCACCCAGGCGCCCCCTTTTCTTTCTTAACAATAGGAAATCCAAGTCTCTTCTGAGCAACAGAGTGCTCAACTATATTGCTCAGCCTCTCTTGCAGTGAGGTATATCTAGTCAGGCCAATGAAATACAGATATATCAAATGTCAAGCCAAGTATATTGATATATCACATACCAGGCAAATGATATGTTGATATCATTGGAATTTGTTGGATAAGACTTCTAGAAAGGCACCTTAAAAGGGAGGGACATCTAAAAAACCTCCTTTTGCCTTTGCCTTTCCCTTCTTCTCTACCTGGAATGTGGATTTAGTGGCTGGAATTCCAGCAGCCATCTTGTGACTTTGAGGATCTAAGTCATGCCTGAAGGATGGGAAAGGAGAAAAACAGAAGACATCTGATTCCTTGATGATCTTTTGGAGATTCCATACCAGCTCTGGACTGCCTACTTCTGATCTTGCATGAGAGAGAATAAACCCTTATGTATTTAACCACTATATTCACAGCCAAAGGAAATTTCTGTTAAAGTTGATGGGCAAAGAGAAACAGAAGGAATTTATCTGATCAGATTCCTCCTGTTTCCCTCATACTTTCAGGTTGCTTCATCCAGCCACCCCTAGGGAGGCCAGATCCCACAGCCCACTGTGTGGCACTTAAGCAAGCCTGGAGGTGGTGCAAGGAACCAGAAACTTGAGCTGTGCAGTTGTTTGGCCTGTGGCAAGCAAGGGGGAGAGACTGGCACTCCCAAGCAGATAACTGCCCAGCTGAAGCTGGTGCAATCAAATGTCTGAGTGGATTCATAGGCTCAGGCAGCTGAGGTAGAGCAAAGTGCTGAGGGTATGTGCACAGGCCCAAAGGTAACATGTAACTTGACTAGGCACATACTCATGCCTGATTTATTGCCTTTGCTATTTATTTCCCGCCAAGTTTGATTACCTGTCTCAAGTCTGCCTTCTTCTCTCCCTACCCGAGACCTGTAGCACCTCTCTCTTCTGTTGAATCTCATGTCCCTGAGACCTCCACCTGTTTGCCACCCAAATCCACCTTTACATTTTCAGTTTTGCCCTCTTCTGTGGTGACTAAAGGATTCCTTGTTTATCACTCTGCATATCAATTTTCATCTCAAAGTAAATGGCCTTTCAAGGCACTGTAGCTTCGAAGGAATGCAAAGATGCTTTCCTGGTGAGATTTTGTGGCAAACACAAAGACAGACTAGAAGGAAACAGAAGCACTCACTAAATTTAGGAAAACCCTTAAGAGACTATATCTTAAAGTGTTCCAACTCCACTCCACTGTGGAACACCAATTTATGTGCTTGGGCCAGCTGGTAGTGTCCAGGGCTACATGATTTCTAAAGTAGGGCCTCTGTAAATAAAAGTAGGATTACGGGGGCGCCTGCGTGGCTCAGTCGTTAAGCGTCTGCCTTCGGCTCATTTCGTGGTCCCAGGGTCCTGGGATCGAGCCCCACATCGGGCTTCCCGCTCTGCAGGAGGCCTGCTTCTCCCTCTCCCACTCCCCCTGCTTGTGTTCCTTCTCTTGCTGTGTCTCTTTCTGTCAAATAAATAAATTAAATCTTTAAAAAAAAAAAAAAAGTAGGATTACGAAGGAAGTCCAGGTTTTCCAAAAGCACACAAATGAAAGCCAAGAAAAACAATGAGGGCAATATTAGTTTCAGGCATTTACACCTTCTCTACAAGCACAGAAAAGAGTATACTCAGTTATTGATCATCTAAGTAGCAGTAAATACTCTAGGATACTCCTCCCATGGAGCTTAATCTGTGGTGTATGTGTGTTGGGAGATACCCAATAAACAAAATTAATTACATGTTAGAAAGAGATAAGTACTATGGAAAAAAATGAAGTGGTCAGCGAAGGCTTCACAAGGAGAACAAAGGCTTGGAGGAGGTGAGAGAGCAAGCCATGTGAATACTTGGGGGATATCCACCCTTCACGTCTATCCAGGCAGAGGAAGAAGCGCAGAGGCTCCATAGTGGAAGCATGCCTCACTCAATTGAATGATAGGTCAGTGTGGCTGCAGCAGAACAAATGAGGGGAAAGTGGTAGAAGATGAGATCAGAGAGTTAGTGTGTGTGGATTTTGCAGGGCTTTGTGGGCCACTGTAAGGACTTTGGCTTTGTTTTGAGATTGGAGAGCAATTGTGTTAAGAATAGGATGTACAAGGCAAGAGTAGGAGTGAGACCAGTCAGCAGGCATTTGCACTGATCCAGGCAACAGTTGATGGGTGGTTAGACCGGGGTGGCAGCAGCGGAGATGGCGAGACGTGGTCAGATTCTGCGTGTATTTTGAAAGTACGGCCAACAGGATTTGCAGAGGAACTGGATGTGGGTTGTGAGATAAAGAGAAGAATGACTCCAAGGTGTTTGGACTGAGCAACTAGAAGGATGAGTTGCCATTTACTGAAGTGGGGAAAACTAGGAGGAAGAGTTATGGCATTGGGGGAGGAAGGGCATCAAAAGTTGTTTTGAACATCCTATATTAGAGATATTTATTTAACATCCAAGTAAAGAGATTGAGGAGACAACTCAAGGTCAGAGGAGAAGCCCATGTTAGAGATACGAATTGGGAATTGATCACATTTGGATGGTATTTAGAACATCTAGTCTGAACAAGATTACTAAGAAGTAAGTGTTCACAGAAAAAGAAGAGCGGCCCAAGGATTGGTCTCTGGGACATTCCAACATTTAGTTGGTTCCCAAATGAGCAGCTTCAGCAGCCCTTGGGAACTTGTTAGGAAAGCAAAATCTCAGGCCCCACCCCAGAATCCTGAATAAGGTTAGATAGAGTTCAGCACTGTGTTTTAACAAGTCTTCCAGGTGATTCTGATCATGGTATAGTTTGAGAATCACTGGTTTCGAGGCTGGGGAGAAGGAAGAGGAGTCTATTTAGAAACTGAGAAGGAGTCATCAGTCAAGGAGGAAAACCAGAGTTTTCCCAGGAGGAAGGAGTAGTCAGTTTATCAACCGCTGGTGATAGATAAAGTGAGAGGAAGACTGAGAATTGACCATTGATTTGGTAACAAAAGAAGGGGGATTTCTGTGATGGGGCTGGTTAACAAAAGGAAGGTATACCCTGGTGTTCCAGACAAGTGGTGCTTTTCATATACAACAGTTTTTCAAATAAACTGTCCACTCCATAGCTCTTGCTATGGAGGGGGTTGGTTGGGGGGAGGCTCCTTTCTTTGAGCTGGTAGGGCTGTGTCCTCTACCACATGCTCTCTCTCCTCTCAGCCCTAGCTGATTGGACCAAAAGCAGCCAACCTTACAAATCAGAAGGTAAGTGTAGCTATGTGTATAACAAACCTAGTGTAATAGTGGCTTATATAAAATAGAAGTTTACATCTCTCTCACATTAAAGCTCAAGTTCTGTTCCACCTAATTGTCAGGGGCTCAGTTCCTTCTACCGTGTTGGTTTGCCATTTCTCTGGTGTTAACCTTGTCCACGTGGTCCACAATGACTTGTGTTCCAGCCAGCATGGAGGAGCTTTCCTCTTCCCTTTAAGAATCACTTTGCTCTCATTTCCCTGGCAAGAGGTAGGGATGATAAGAAATGTAATCTTTACTCTAGGAAGCTTTAGGCCTACCTAAAAGTTGGGAACGCTATTAGAGAAAAGACAAATGGACATTGTGGCTTCTACTCAAAGAGGGACAGGCTAATTTGATTTTCTTTCTTGGGAATTTGAACTAGAGAGAAAACTGGCTACTTTATTGTGGAAGATACGTGAGACCATGCACCATCCTGAAGATACACCCAATCCCAGCTGACAGCTCCTCGAACTTCTCTGGAGTCTTGAGAGACTTCCATGTTCCAGTCGCCTTGAGGTTAGCGGGACCAGTTATTAACTAGTAACTTCTTGGGGATCTGTGTCTGGGTTGAGGTGATTTCCAGGACTGAGATTCCATTTTTCCTTATTCTGCAGCCTGGAATACACACCCTTGGTTACTTTATATAATCTGTGTCCCCGTCACAATGGGCTAACACCATGGAAGCGCAGGAAGGAAGCGGTGGGGATGCGGGCGCCTCCCCTCGGAGGGAGTACCAAAGGTAAAGAGGGAATCCTGGGTAGGTGGTGGGGGCCCTCGGCCCGTCAGTTGCCATGCGAGGCGGGGTTTAGCGTGGCCGAACACATCTTCTGGGCCCGGGCCCAGAGTCGGCATCGAGGAAGGCGTGGCCTTTCGAGCAGCCAGCAAGGGGTTTCCTACGGGGCTCGACGCTCTTGGAAACCCAGTAACTGCATAACATCGCAGGCCTATCAGCCCCGAATAGTGGGGTACCGCCTGGCCAGCGTCCCGCGGAGTCCTCTGGGAAGCGGAGTCCTCTGGGAAGCGGCGTCCCGTGACGTGAGCCGCGCCCCGCGGAGGATTCTGGGAGTTGTAGTTCAGCCTCGAGTTCGGGCCGGCGCAAGTTGGCCCGGCGGATTCCTAGATACCTTTGTCGCCTGGCCGGGGCTTCCTCTGCGTCGTGCGGGAGGTCGAGCCTGTTGTCGTGGAGGGCTGAGCGCGGGGCCTTCCAAGTCTGAGTGGCCGGAAGGAGGGCGGCGGGAGGGCCACCCGGGTGGCGCCAGGCTGCCCTGCGAGGGTCGCGCGCGCGTTCCCGGGCCTCCGAGTGCACCAGAGCGGTGGACCCCCGGGGTCCCTCGCCCGTTCGCTGCTCCCTTCTCCCGAGGCAGTCGTCACCTGCGCGGGCCGGGGGAGGGAGTCGCCATGGAGCCTGGGGGCAAAGGTGAGAATTTCGGAGGGATGCGGCCGCAGAGCCTGCTGGAGAGAAAAAAAGGGGGAAAGGCTGCCCTCTGGCTGGGGCAGGCTCTGGAAGGAGAAGCATCACGTCTTCTCTGTGAGACGACAGCCCTTTCCAACTGGTTGGTCTCACATTGGGGTTTTGAGGGAGAGCCCGCTACCTCATTGCCCTGCTGGTCTTAAGAATGATGTATGCCTCCCTTGCACCCAAAATCACCAGATCCGACAATGTGGCTTTTGACAATGACTTCGTTTTGTCTTCACGGGAACCCCATAAGGTGGTTGGAAGGAGATTGTTATACCCATTTGGCAGATGGGGAAAGTGAGTATTCCAGAAGTCACAGGATTTGTTTAGAATCCTGGATTTTTTCCCGCATAAGACCCATTGCTTTTCTAAGAATGCCAGTATTGTATCTAAAAAGCCAGTGTTCAAGAAGAATTTAACTAGTCTTCCTTCATCCTGTGAGCCTGGAAAAGAACAGGAATGAAACATTAAATGAGGATCGGATGGACACACAGAAACTTTGAATATTACTTTGATTCTCACTCAGCGATGAGAGTTAGAAATACGTATTTAATTTATGTGTCCAGATTTTCATAGCAGAGTCCTTCTAGAGTTTAAGGGCAGAGAAAGATAGGAGGAGTTGGAGGCAACGATGGTCATGTTTGTATTAATTCGGGGATGTTGTGGGATTGTCCCTTGATTTCCTGTGTTGACTTTTCTTAGGTGACAAGTAGCTGTGTGTGGCAGCATCCTCAGGTTTACTGCAAAGCAAGAGTAATCATCATGGCTCCTGTCTCCACTTGTAGGGTCACTTTCTGAGGACTCAGACCATCCCTGTGCTGGAGACCCAAAAGAAAATGGCATGACCACTGTGCTGCTGACCCCTGCATCCCAGGTGGGTTTAATTTCCTTTTTTCTCTTTTGTTTTCAGAACAGAAATACGATTTCCTCCATTGTTATGGAGTTGCTCAGCCATGATTCCTAGACTACTGGGTTCATCCTGATAAAATGATGAGTGATGAACCTGACAGTAAATGCTCCTCACTTGTGCAGAACTTTCCCTCCATCATTACTTCACAATCCACTTAGTGCTCAATTCGCTCTTACTAGGTCTTTGGTGCTGTCATTGGCCTCATGGTCAGGTGCAAAATAATAGAAGCCAGTTTCCCTGACTCACAAAATTTACTGAGGAAATAAGACAGATAAGGAAAATAGTTAATCAGCAAGAAGATATATATATAAAGATGCGGAAATGACTGGTACAGATAAGTCATAAAAGGCCTTGGAAGAGGTTTTACATCCTCTAGAGTATTTGGGGAAAAAATACTGGGATAAAAGCTGTACTTTGGAAAGTAAGAGAGAGTAGGTAGTTGGAGAATAGAATACAGGATTATTCCAAGAGAGAGAAAAGCTTTGGCAGAAAGTCTGTAAGCGAGTTGGAGGTCTTCACGGGGTATGTGTGTCACTGTAGGGTGAGCTAGAGTGTGGTAAGGGAAGCTTAGGTATGTTGTAGCCAGACTGCAGGAAAACCTACACAGGGTCTTATTCCAAAGGTAAATAAAACCCCATAAAAGTTTGTAGAGGCCCAGCAAGACAAAACATGCCTCTCTCTGATTGAAGGGAAATAAGTCAAGATGTTTCTGTAAGATCTGGCCTCAGACCCTGGGTGAATGGCAAACTCTGTGGTAAAGGCAGTGGGACTATTTGACAACTTCAGACCTGCCTCACAGCGCTTAGGTCTGAAACGCTGGGGGTTCTGATCTGAATTTGTAGATGTCTTTCAGAGGAAAGGGGAGAGAGAATCAGTAGCCTCTGCTGGACAGTTTCCAGTTGGTCTTCCTGTGTCTTCCAGCCCCAGCACATGCACACTGAGCAGCAGCTCTTTAAACAAGTTCAATTTCTGAGGTTTTCTCAGGAAACCAAAGTTTGAAAGGAACTGCCAGTTAGTCTGTTACTGTTTGTAAAGAGAGGAGACCATATAAATTATATTGCTGTGTTGATCACTCCTGAGGCACATGGTCTTAAGGGACCATGAACTTAAATAAAAAGGGTACTGATTTTATACTTCAAGTATTAAAGAGTTAACATATGTGGATTTAAGAAACAAAACAGAGGAGCATAGGGGAAGGGAGGGAAAAATAAAACAAGACGAAATCAGAGAGGCAGACAAACTGTAAGAGACACTTAACTATAGGAAACAAACTGAGGGTTACTGGAGGGGAGGGGGTTGGGGGGATGGGGTAACTGGGTGATGGACATTAAGGAGGGCAGGTGATCGGGCGCCTGGGTGGCTCAGTTGGTTAAGCGACTGCCTTCGGCTCAGGTCATGATCCTGGAGTCCCTGGATCGAGTCCCGCATCGGGCTCCCTGCTC